AGATGAAGCTGATGGTATTCGATCAAATAGACATTGAGTATCTTATCCTGAGATGTGGATATTTTCATAATCCAGTCAACCACCAGAAGAAAGAGAAAAAAGAGAGTTAGCAGTCATGTCTGACTCAGGTCCTCACTTGAAATGCGTCTGTTACCTGTTCTTTATGCAATACTTTGCACTGAAGTCCGTTGTATGAATTCCGAATGATGTTGACGATCTTCCTTGCTACTCACACTAAAGTGTCGAAGAAGTTTCTTTAATGTTCTCCCATCCACACTGTCGAATGCTTTCTCATAATCAATGAAGTTGATGTATAGTGACGACTTCCATTCAATTAATTTTTTAACGAAGATCCATAGTATTATGATTTGGTCTTTGCACGATTGATCCTTACGGAATCCGGTCTCTTGATCTCAAAGTTGAGCGTCCAGTGCGCCTTTCATCCGGTCCAGCAACGCTCTGTCAAAGACTTTCCCTGGTATTGACAGCAGTGTGATGCCTCCGTAGTTTTCACATTTACTCAAATCTGCTTTCTTTTGTATCTTGATGAAGTATCCTCCTTTCCAGTCTGTCTGCACTTGTTCCTCCTCTCAAATATTTTTAAATAGAACGTGAAGCATATTCGCAGTTACCTCTGTTTGACTTTAGTACTCCGACCAGTACGTTGTCTGGTGCTGGTGCTTCCCCACACTTCTATTGTCTGATGATCATGCTGACTTCTTCAACCTATAGGAAGTTGTGCGTGTGTTGCTTGGATGTCCGTTGAGCTCTACGAGGCAGGTATATTCAAAAGTTCTTCCAGTTGCTCATCCCACCTGTTCTACTCTTCTTGAAACTCAGTGATTAACTTGCCTTCTTTGTCCTTGACCGGTCTCTCTTGCTCACTATATTTCCCTTCCAGTTTGTTCGTTGTGTCATATAGCTGTCTCATATTTCCTTCTCTTACAGCTTTTTACGTTGTCATTGCTAGCCCTTTAACATAATACTGATTGTCGACTAAAATTTTGCTCTTCACTCTCTTATTTACTTCGGTATATTCGGCTAGTACCTTGACTTTTTCTGTTCTTGCTCGAATGTTGTTCATCGCTGTCTTCTTGTTATTTATTTCTTCAGTCCTACCCAGGATTTTCACACAGATCCATCTTTAGGATTATGCTTCTTGAAGTCCTGAACCTCCTGACACGTTGATGTTAGTGCTTCCTTGATCTCTTTCCAATTATCCCCTTTATTAGTGTCTTCTTCTTCGAGTAAATCATGGAATACTTGAAACCTGGTGTAGAGAGCTATCTTGAGTTCATTGTGTTTGTCGGTATCTCGAAGAAGGGCTGTAATAAATATTTGCTTAGATACTTCTCCAATCATCCTATTCTTCTTTGGCGTCAGTTTCATCATGACCACCATCAAATGGTTATCTCAATTAATGTCGGCTCTTCCTCTAGTTATCACAACTTCCATTGACCTTCTGAATATTTCAGTCATACAGATATCATCCATCTACTTCTCTGTAGTGTGATCCGATGAGACTAATATAACTTCGTGTATGCGTTTATGAGGGAATATTGTGTCGCCTATAACCATTCTATTGAATCCACATACATTCCCAAACCTCTTTCCATTATCGTTCCTTTCTCTTAGTCTATGTCATATCACGGTATCTTCATACACGGTGTTGTCCAGTTCGACTTTGGCGTTCAGGTCTCTAATCAACATGGTCAGGTCATTTAATGGACACATCGCTATGATCGATTACAGCTTCTGGTAGAACTGATCTTTATTGTCGTCATTGCTATCATAATTGGGTGAATAACAATGGATAATATTCATTGTGATTCTCCTCTTCTTTGTTTTGAAGGATGTTTTAATGATTTTGGATTCATGAAATTCCCATCCTATAAATGCATTTCGTGCTTCTTTATACTGAATCGGTGCGACTCTTTTTGTGTGCTAATCATTTTTGTCTTCATGATTAGGGTAAACAGCATCTCTCCGGAAGCTGATGTTTTCTGTCCATCTTGGATCCAATGGGTTTCACTACTTTCGACAACCGTCAAGTTGTGTCTCCCCATTTCCGTTGCTATTCGACTGGTCTTCACGGTCTCCTACATTGTCCGAACATTCCATGTAATAATTGTTGTTCTGGATGTCAGTAAGGATATTGGCCTCATGACACCCGAATTACCTCGTCTTTTACCATGATGCATCACAATTCTTGTGAGTGAATATCTTTCATCTCTTTGAGGAACGTTTAAATGGTTCAAATGTTTTTTTCTGGTTAACATCTTTTTAGCAAGGTATTTTTTACTGGATAGTTTTGATGACCCCACACTCAACCCTCTTCCTGCATTCAGGCTTGGGACATGTTATGGCTGCGTTGCTAACTGTTGTGTCAAGTCGTCGCTAATTGCTACGTCGAATGCGCTTATTACTGATACCTGCAAAACGAGGAACCACTCCAATTCTTACGATGCGAAGTAAGAACTTCATGAATGGTAACAGTGACAATTTATCAACCCCATTGAATTTGAAATATACGTCTATAGTACATTTTATTAATAATTCGTTGGTTATCTCCATGGGATTGTAGTCACTATTTCTTGTCCTCTAAGTTGACAGATATTTTCTAGGGTCACTGTGAGTGAAATATTTATAAACAGTGACGTTACGTCAAAAGACATCATCGCTTGACCTTTAGTGTTTATGTTTTTGATCTTATCGACGAACTGGAATACATCATTAATACTATGCTTCACTAAACGTTTAATTAGTGGTTTTAAAGTGGTTACTAACCACTTTTTTTAAAATTTTACTGGTGACACAAACAAGTTAACTACAATCAGGAACCCAGGGATCCCAACACCACTCTGTTTGTTTGTTGCTATAACGTCATGGTGAAGGCAAATAAGATTAAATTTAAGTACAGCTTTAAGGATATCATAATTCAAACTTTTCAGAAATTCCTTTCTACTATTTAGTATTTATAAATTGCGAATACAGTGATATAAAGATAGGTGTGATGTCCTTAATAATAATTCAACGATAAAATGGAAAACAAATTTCTAACAAATGAGTGGTCATATCATCACGCCACCTAGTCAGTGTAAAATTAAAATCAATATCGTTAGAGAATATTAGTGGAATAAAATTGAGAGATTATATAACAAACAATAGTTAAACCAATATAATTATTCACCATGGCAACAAGAGCTTTAAAACACTTTGTGTTCGAATGTATTACACTGACATGTTTATAGAAGACAAATCTAGAACATTTTGACAGCTTAAAATAATATTTCTAGTTAAAAAAAAATTGTACTTTAATTTTCAGCATTCGTTCAGTGAATAAACTAAAAGATACCTCAAAATATTGAATATGACACTTTATTGTGAATATCGAAAAATCGATGGTTAAGAGATTCGTATAATAATTCCAAGTAAAATATACTTTATTCATTATGTAACAAAATTTGGTAACTAATTTAGTTTAGGTAACAACTATATTTAAGACAAATATGGAAAACTAAACAGAATTTCACAACAAAACTCTCAGAATAAATTTTCTTTATCATATAGAAATACGAATTATTTTTTCTTGTAATAAGTTATCAAATAGATTAAATTATTATTCCATTTAAATTAACCGCCTTTGTTAGTACTAAATATAGAAGTTATTAGAAGCGCAAAACGATGCTTACAAACATCTCATAATAAACATTTGAGTTAAAGATACATTATCAGACTGAAAAATAACCCTATCCATAATGTAAATATGTTCTCTACGATATTCTTTTATAATATAAGCTTTAAATAATGATAAAATCTCGTACTTAAATGCTTTGGCAAATGCACTACAGTAGACAGTAATGTACAAGAATTTACAGTACTAATTGTAATATTTTTTTTCTTAATCTGTAGTGAATGAAGAACTCAGGTGGGGAAGACCAATTGATTGCTTAATGTGAAATCACAAAATGCATTTGTTAAATATGAAAACTAGACATTATATACATTAATTGCACATCTTTCTTCAGTCATCCTTTACATGCTTCATGATTCTTTCAATTATGTTGTTATTACAATTACTCTCGGTTGGATTCCTGTCCTCTTTAATTTGATCTTCTAAGCATTCTGCAGCCAGGCATTCCACTTCTGATTGGTGCTACATATTAGTTATATCTTTCAACATAACTAGCACACACTGTAGTGAACAAGAACACAAGTAGGGACAATCCAATGTAATTCAACACACAATCACAGAATCTCTTAGTAAAATCTGAGAACCGTACAGTAAATACATCATTCGCAAAATGTCGATCAAGCGTTTCAGACTTCGTTGTTCCTTCATTTCCACACTAATCATTCTCTGTTCTCGTTCTATTTTCTTCGATTTTCTTAACCTTCTGCCTCCCGACAACTCATTTTCGATTGATGATACATACTACTTCTATCTGTAGACATCAGTAGCACACATCACAACGCCACAAATCTATTTATAAAGTCATATATTTATGATGCCTATTGTTATCAAGATAACCGTTTGTCTTCAATACCGACATTTACCAGTTAAATAAACGAATAGTTTGACTTTATACTTTTCCAGTGTTTCTTTCCAAAACATGATTTTCATAGTAATATTACTTAGTAAAATTGAATTGATCATCTGCAATGTAACTAGGTCTTCAGTATGTGCAATAACAAACGTTTACGCTCATAGTTTAGATCTATTCAACTCATCTACATCATTCGATCAACAAACAGAATCGGTATAAAACAAGTAGTTTCAATGTAGATGGCAATCAATAACAGAAACTTAGGTTAGAGATATTCTTGATGCGTCGAATTTTGAAAACATCCTTCCATATTGATCATTACACAACAGTTGGATTGTTAAAAACTGAAAAATCATCAATTCTCATGTAGCTAGTAGCAATTAACAATTAATGTTCTTTGGTGGAGTTTTGTTCTCCGAGCTGAATAATTTGGTTGTGGAGTTTTCATTGTTCTTCTGAAAGACATCATTAAGACAAACTTCAAGTAGAAGTAAAGTATTCGAATTTCTCCGCATATAACTCATAGCTTGTCCTGTAGACCTTGATGTTGAGTGAACATTGTCGACCTTTAACCTGTCACTTGTTTACAGAACAAGCTGTGAGTCATATTTTGAGGAATTCGAACACTTTACTTCTACTAGAAGTTTTTGCTGATGATATTGATCAGAAGAACAATGAAAGCTTCATGGCCAAATCATCCATCTCAGAGGACAAAACTCCACCAAAGTCATCTTCCTGAGCTACGAATGTTCTCTACCATCTCAATTGATATTAAAATATTTATTTTTCTATTATCGACCTTTGATAGTTCTTCTTCAGTTTTCACTGTTATAACATTTTTAGAACATAAATGAGAAGTTACATGAATTTGAACAAGAAAATGTTATAGCAAATGTATTTTTCCAGTAATCTAGTTTTATTTTTGAATACTTTGTAAAAACAAGAATCATAACTGTGATTTGCTTCAGTCTCTTTTCAATAATATTACATATGATATCATGTCGTCTAAGTCCTAGTTATTTCATCAAAGCTCTCTCTTATTTCCTAAATAACCCGATGCTACAAACATTTAAGATTTCGAACTTTGGCTAAAGTGCTACCGTAGTGAACAAGAACACAGGTGGGGACAAACGGATGTATTTCGCACAACAATTACAGACTATCTCAACAAAATCCGAATACCATACAGTAAATCGTCAATTTGCAAAATATTCATGCATCAAACCAAACTGGACTGTTTCTGTTGCATACACTAATCCATTGTTCATGCATTTTCTTACAAATTCCATTGTGGTCTTGGTCTTGGTCTTTGCCCTCTTCCGCTGCCAGACATTACGTTCTTTTAACGCACGTTATATACTACTTATATCAATATAAGTAGCTCACACCACACTACCTTAGATCGCTTTTTTCCAATTTCACAGTGTTTCTTCCTTAGTTTGAACATTCTTATAACCAAATTTATAGTTCTAGATTTTATTCTAGTCACTTTCACGGATATCATTTTCTGACCATGAGGTAATTCATTTAGTTTTTATTAATTTAATGACTTATTTAATCAATAACATGATATTTAAAGAATGTGCTTACAACTTATTAAAACTTTGTTATCAAAGAATTACATTCGTTTGTACTTTTCTCTTTACTATCAAATAATTGAACTTGGTTTTATCAGATAGTTAAACACTATCACGGAGGAAACACTTGATAAAGTAGTTCATGATTATTTATTTATCCTGTAGTGAAGGAGAACACAGGTGAGGACAACCGAATTATATTTAGCACAAAATTACAGAGTTACTTGGTAAAATAGAAAAACCATATAGTAAATCGTTAATTTGCAAAATGTTCAATAATTGTCTTGAACTTCGTTGTTCTTGTACTTCCATACTAATTGCTTTCTATTCACGCTCTTCCTTTCTACACTGTTTATATCAATATAAGTAGCACACACCACAATAGATGAATCACTGTATTACGGGTTCTTAGTTTAAACAAATAAAACACTTATGTAATCTTTTTACGAGGTATTTAATTATTGACTAAATAAAATGCCTTTACCTGTTCAAATTGACATTTTGTAAATGATTACTTTCCAATTTTTGAGTTTATGAAACATTTTTAACGTTTCTTTAAAGAATAATTCTAGAATACGATTGAACCCTGGTTCATAAAAAATTTATCCTCTTAAACAAATAATCAGCCTGAAAACAATGTATATGACGTAATTTTGTTTTTTTGAAATTCGCATCATATTATTCTATTGTTTACTCTGTAAAGAAAATAATCCAGAAACGGATTATCTAATATTTGTTTTATCTGAAAAAGCATAAATAAATCGATTTTAACAAAATGATAAACAAAAATAATGATGTCGTATACTTGAGTTGAGCTGATTATCAATCTTATCAATTCAATAGGTTTATTAGTCCTAAAATCAAGTCAATAAGGATTAGAATATTTACAAAGTTTTTGAGTAGCTGTAATAGCGTCTTGAAATACGGTCACTAAGCCATCTATCTAAAAGTGTTTGGAAACAGACACTTAAGAATACACCTGTAGTATAAATTATTTTTTTAAAGATAACAACTGTCAACAAAATCTAGAGAAATTAGTTTACCTTGTTCTAAAACTGTTAAATGAAACTAATTTGTTTTGTAAATGTTTGGTATTTCTTGAAGAAAATGACATAATTATCAATCAATTTCATTCGCAGTTTAACATATTGTTATAGATTTTCTTCTCAGTGTAACACTCTAATCAGTACACTATTAGTTTACTATTTTACAGTGAAACGTTAATTCAGGTCAATATGTTTGTACCAACTAAGTGCGAATTTCGTTCAGTACGACAATTGCAAACTTGCTTTTTATGTCATATTATGAGAAAAATGAATGAAACTTCATTCTAAACAATTCTTCTCTATGCCGATGAAAGCCTGTTCCTATAGATACAGTCACCACATTTCAACTCTCATTTCTATGCGACATGTGTTGAAATACCATTCATCAACTCATAACTGATTCTTAATAAAAGAAAAAGGCTATAGAAAACATTGTAATTAGTAACTTTAAACGTTTGAACACAAGGTGATTCTACTTCGTGTTCATATTATCTTTCATTATTCATTAAACTTTTTTTCATTATTTTTATTAAGTTTCTTATTATTTTCCTTGCTATTCATTCAGTTCATTCATATGACTGTCATTATATTTCGTAAAAAATAGTATCTTTTATTTTTATGTTTAATAAAAGGCATTTTTATTCACATTAATGATAAACCATATCTAAAGGTTTTGGAAAGATGTTTTTCTTCTCATAAAGAAGATATTATAATCCATTCATCTGTCAATACAATGAAATGTTTCATTGAATGAATACATTATTGATAGGAAACCATATATAAATTCAATCAACATTAAATCTATTGAAAAGCATTGTTCTTACGTTAAATCCCATTAAAGATATTTTCAGCTTAGCTGTAGATTATGAAGTCTTCTTGCAATTTATATTAGTATTAGAATTATTGCACTAAAGAATACATATATTCTCATTCATTTAATTTGGAAAATACATTATAAGCAATCTTCACCTTTTAACTGAGTTTTGAGACTGACTGACATATTTAGCCCTACGGTTATCTGAAAATTGTCTATTTATAGAACTTTCAGTAGTTGAGGTCACGAGTCAGTTGAAACTAAACCACCATGGAAAACTTTGAAGCACTAGATAGCCATTTTGTTCTATCGTGGGACTCCTCAGCAGTGCGCATCCACGACCCTACCTCGCGAGATTGGAACCTGAGACCTATCAATCTCGAGCACGAACACTTAATCACTAGACCACTGAGATGGCTCGCATCCAATGGTGTTAATGTCTAACGTCAACCAGTCCACGAAGTTGAGCCACCGTTAAACATTGTCGTTAGTGAGTTACTATCTTACACTAAACCCGGTTGAATTCCACTCCTCATTGCTGAAGAGTCCCACATTGGGATGAAACGGCCATCCAGTGCTTTCAGGTTTTCCATGGTGGTTTAGCTTAAACTAATCCGTGACCTCAACCACTGAAATAACTATAATACCCACAAAACCCCTTCTGATATTATTTATAGAACTGTTTGATCTTTGGTTTCATACGCTATGATATAATGTGCTAAATGTGTTGATGATTACGAATATTCTTCTGAAGAAATATTCGCTGATTCAATCATGATATTTTTCTTTGTTTAGATTTTTAGATTCCTGAGAATATTATACTGCAATCTGATTAGTTTAATTAATCTCTAACTTCTGGTTCATTAACCAATATCCTTAACTCCATTTATAATCCATGTGTTTATATATTACACATTCTAATTCAAGTAAAATGTTTTTATCCGTATGGAGTTGTGGAAATTATTAAGTTTTTGATTAAGATCAACATCGTTGGGTACCGGCCCAGTGATTTAGAGGTTAAGCGTACGCGCGCAAGACCGAAGACATTGGGTTCGAATCTCGCGAGTGGGATCATGGACGCGCACCGCTGATGAGTCCCACAATAGGACGAAACGGCCATCCAGTGCTTCAAAACTTTCAATGATGGTCTAACATCAATCGGTTCATGATCTAAATCAAAAATAAAATGTTTTATTTTCATTTAATTGGTAATATATTTATAATTACCAAGAAACATGATTTCCAGTTCAAATTGCAGCAGACAATTCGACAAAGTAACTAATGATCGATCGGTAACAAATATTTGCAAATGAAGTGTGAACAAATTCAAAAATATTAGTCTGTATGGAGAATCCTTATTTGAGAAAAAACCAGTTACTTTCAAGATCACCAGAGGGTAACTGTTGTAGATTTTCAGATCTCTTTTATGATAGAATAGCTGATATTCTTTTGATTTTTAATAAGAACCAGTTACTACATTAAGTAATAAGTAAACTTCCACAATAAAAATTAAGAAAACTTAGAAATACAATGATATCTTAATCAGTAGTTTAATATGATGAATGAAAAAGCATGAGAACACTAGCTGTCTTTCGTTATTTTACAGATAAATGACTAAAAATATCAAATTTTATGACTAGAAATTATCAAATTTACGCCATTTATGCTTGTTCCGATTTTTTCACATGTATTCATTTTCCTTTTTCAATGAAAACAGATATGTAGTGATCATTTCTTTCTATAATATTGGAAACATTCCACACTATCTATTCGTCACAAGTTATTGATGCATATGATGAAATAGATAATGATAAATATTCTTCATTTAATAACAATCTAGTATTTCTACATGAATGTATATACACTATACAACATATCTGTAGGTGTAATGGATGTTGATTTTGATAAACCTTTAAAGATTGTTTTTAAATTTCTTACCAATATAAAACTAATTAATCGTCCATCACATGGCACCGAATGTCGTAATGTATGTAGGAACTGAAATAGAATAATAAGTAAATTGTGAAATGTATTTGGAAGACATAACCAAATAGATTCTCAGCTGTTTACAAACGGGTTGATAACGAAGATAACTTATCACAATGATTTATTTAAAAAAATATTTTAGATCTATGCATTCCGTTATCTATAAACTCTCGACTTTTATTTGATTGTAGCAAGTTTACCATTATCTGCCAGTACTATAAAAGAATATGTAGCATCGGTCATTATGTTAAGCCCATATACCTTATTCACTTGTCAACCTTGACTGTTTTTATGTAAGTGTATGTGTGTACACTTTTTATCCTACTAACCGTATTTTTGTAGCTTATCTTTGTGCGACTATAAATATTGGTTAAAGCTTGGTTACATGGAGTTATCTCACATGCCTTCTCCACTGCGTGCCGTTTCGCTCTCTCTTCTTCACTTTCTTTGCTATGTCACTCTGATTATCTGTTCCGATCAACGATTATACAAAATTATATGTCTTGGAAAAAATCCATTCTCGCATTTGACTTATTTTAATTCCATTATTCACTAACTCAATCTAAGTCGATAATTATATACGAGATTTGACAGTATATAACAAACAGAAACAATCTCATTTGAGTCAAATTCTGATTTATTAAAAATGCATTCACAATAATTTTCACCATCATCATCATTATCACTCAATGTATGAAATAAAAAAAGGAGATAAAAGTACAAAACAAAATCATATATTCTTCAAACAATTCAGTCATCATATAAAGGACAGAATAAAATTGAAAAGTACGTTTCTATGTATGTATACATATGTATAAAAGTAAATGGGTGGGCATCAATATATATAAATATCTATTGACATATATTGTTTCTTTTTTTTTTCCAAATTAACTCCTATTTCTCCCATGAAAAAGAAACTAATATGAATTCATTAATTACAAACTCATTCTGTATTAATTATGATTCACTTTATTATTTGAATTTTATTTATTTATTTACTTTTTTCTTGTTAAAAAAATGTTTTTTTAACTTCTTCTTCAGTGAATTATTTAGCGCCATTTTTTTCTTTTCTACTATACCATTATGAAATATTTTGTTTTAATTTTTCTTTTCTTTTCTTTTTTTTGGAAAAAATACATATACAAGGCAGAAGAATTCATTGGTACTATTATCATCCCTCTCTCTCCCTACAGGTGTGTGTGTGTGTGATTGAATTCTTTTTCAATGTTGAATTTATTTATTTATTTATTTTAGACAAACAAAATTATCATTTACTTAAATCTTATTTATTGAAATAAATTTAAAATTGAACGAAGAACGAATTAATTTTTCTGTGAAAAATTATGAATTAAATAAGAATTAAATTCATTTAGTATTATTTAATTAAATTTTAGTATTGATATTTAGGATTGCAATTAATTTAGTCTCTTATTGACATATGTGTGTATACTGTGTGTATTGTTGTTTATGGGGCCCTTTAATTTTGTTGTCATTTAAATCGAACGATGTTGTCGAAAGGGCTTTCCACTCTAGTGGCCCGACATCTGACTCCAAGGTGATCGTAATGATGATTGTTGTTGAAATATATATGTCGTCTATCCTCGTATATAATCATCGACTTTATTCGGATTAGTCAATAACGGACTTAGATTAGTCAAATAACAAGGATGGACCTTTGAATACATATATTTTGCATATTGGAGCGAATGAAATAGAGAGAAGAGAAACGATGCGCAGTAGAGATGGCTGGTAAGCCAACTACCATTTAACCAAGCGTTAATCAATATTTATAGTTACACAAAAGTAAGTTACAGACATATGATGAGTAATGGGATAAAAAATGTACACACACCTACGCGCTCATATAAAAACAGTCAAGATTGATAAGCGAATAACTAACAAGGTCAGAATGTGACTCAAGTAGAATGAATAGAATGAGCTGTCCGTAGACTAGAATAAGGTATATGGGCTTAACGCAATAACCGACACTATATGTTAAATTCGTTACTTGATTAATGCAGAATACGGTATATAACTATGGTAGTCGAATGGATAGAACCGTCACAGTTACAAATCAGAAGGCTGAAGTACTTGTGGGATAAGAATCAAAATGTACAGAAAATTATGGGAATTTATAGATATTATCGTTTGTTATATCAACATTATAATTCAACCAATCCAAAAGAAGCATGTTATGCTACTCTTCAATAGTAGCATGCCACATTGGTATTCTAGAAAGTTTCATCATGCTCTGATTAGATGGAAACTCTTTGACTCCTTAAGCCGTCCATCCCAACCCAGTCACCAATTGTTATAACTTATGGCCTTGCGCTCTATTACTTTGTAACATAACGATATCGCTAATTAGAGAACAGTGATTTATCGACTGGACCAATGACGCGTAAACTCGTACGAGCAGTCTAAAGTCTTTATCGGTTCTTCTTCCTGTCTAGCCCCACCTGTTAAGTTCAGAACATTAATCGCAGCTTCCGCGATATGCATCATGTATTTAGAACATACTGGGTTTATGTACAAACTAAACAGACAACATCGTACTATAAAATAGAAAAAAACATTTGTACAAGATCTAGCCAAAAGTAGTTGTGTATGTGGAAGACTGTAATTAATAGATTAGGTCAAAATAAAGCTTATAATAAATGGAACACGAATATGCATACTTTAGCTACTTAATCATTATACAATAAAAATATATGTATCGCATTGGTCCATAAATAGTTCTCAAAAGTTATCATTCATAATTCTCGTCGAAATATAACAATTGCCTAGACATGACCTAATTGACAAGCATTATAAACAAAGAAAGATAGTGGTTAGCAGTCCTAAACATCAATGGGTAGATTCAAGTTAAAAATACCATATGAATTTCAACGTCACCTAATTGCATGAGCAACGGCCTATCAGGAATCAGTAACTAAGTGGATGACGCAATGGAGTTTGAAGAAAATGTTACTGGGTTTGAGTTCAGGAGTAAACATCAACTCTGAGATGCATGTATATTCAGCTGACGAGACTCAAACAGAACGAAACACATGTTCTGGATTCTAGTGCTTGCCACTATTCTTCTTTGCTTATAAATAGTTACTAATTAGTTGGAAATATTATTTAAAATCATAAGCATCCTTTGTCTGTATTTAGATAAATAATTCAACAGTGAAAAATGTTAATATTAAATGGCAAACACCACCACTATTATTTGAACTTATAATTTAAGTGTTAGTACTTGTTCTGCTAGTAGTCATAATAACAGTTGTATCAACAATAGTAATCTGATTAAAACTTTAAATCAATAGATGATAATTAGTTTCTGTCAGTATCCATTATAATTGAAATTCCTCTTCATGAACTTTTCTTTGAAATATGATTTAATGGGAAAAACAAAACTGGTTTTAAAGTACAACATTTTAAAAATAAGTGTACTGGTAACAGAACTACTATTAAGTCTACAGAAAGATTATGAAAGACTTTACATTTCATAAACAAACACAAAGTCACTTACAAATATATACAACGAAATAAGATTATTTTATAATAAATCATTATTGAACCACTTTTTTTAATATTCTCTTATTCAACTTTTTTTCAGATTAATTTTAGTTAAATTGTATAATTATAAACAAAATTCTATTGTACAACAATAGAATCACAGAAAACTAAAAATGGTGACTGCATTACATTGATACATTGTAATATAATATATCTACAATTCATTAGTTACTCTATCTAGTTTAGTTGTGTTGTTTTCTCTGAGCTTGATGGTTTAATTGCAAAGCTTTCATCATCGTTTTGTTTGACATCATCAGTGATTACTGCACGTATAAATGGTCGGTGCAACTAATCCATAAGTGTTATATCAGATTATCAGAATTAGTGTGTCAATGGAAAGATGTAACGTGAGGTTTTGCCAGTTTTACTTCACTATATATTTCTGTTGAACAATTTTTTTTGTTAATCCTTGACTACATGATTCTTGATCACTTTGATACAAAAAAATAGATTGAGTCCACATCAATATGTCTACTAATTACAGATTGACCTGAAGCCATACTTTCAGTAATTCTCTGACATGCTTTGATTTTCCTTGATCAAACATTTTAATGTTTTCCCAATCACATTCTTATTTGTGACTCATGGCGTGCATTATTTTAAATGCAAACATGTCGAGTCAGTTTACTACCAATTTGTGTTTACTTACACCTAGATATAGGAAACATTTTAAAACTAGTGATGTCAACTATGTACATTTAATTTGCACAATTCCTATGAATGAGTTCAAAATTTCACTTAGTGCTGTTCACATTTCATTGGGAAAACAACTTGAAGCACAAATTTTGAAAGATAAATAACGTGAAATTAAAATACAGAAGTCTATCCTTAAAATTTAAATCTAATACTAAATATATATACTAGGGACGTCGAATAAGTTGAATGTGAAAGAAGAAAAGATCTAAGTGATGAATCGGCAACTCATAGAAACATTAACGAAACTCATGAACCTTAAAAAAGATTTGAGATAGTATCCTGTTTAGTCAAAACAAAAACAATTATTTACTTCAACTGAACAAATATTTTTCGGATACATGTACATCAAATAAAGATTATTAATTAAATTTATTTATGTATGGTTAAATATTAAGAAAATATAAACGACTTTTACTCTAAATTTACCAAATAAAACAATAACAGACAAACAAGTAATACATTTGTAATATCCTAATGAGTAGAAAAATTAGATTTTTTGACGTTTTGTGACTTAGCGTAAGTCACTTCTTCAGTGAATAAATAAATAACCAAATCAAAATCAATCCAAGTTTAACTAGTACAAAGGAACAATACAACAATATTAGGTGAGATCAATCAAAAAGCAGGTTTGAACAAGTCAATGTTATGTCATTTCGGTCAAGGTGATTCATAAGCGACATCTACGTAAATTTGTTTGTATATATGTGTTAAATGTTAAAGATGAAAAGTGTGTGACATTTATGATGAGGAAG